TTAGTTCAATCTTCATAAAATTTTGCAAACAAAAGCTAGGGACTGCATTTATTCACGCTTGTGCTCCTGATGATACATACTAGTTTTTAACTTGATGAAGCATATGGTTGTGAAGTTATAGTGGGTTTTCAATTAGCACCTCTTATTGTTAGAATTTGACAAAACTTTGTGTGCGTTGTCAGAATGTCCAATCTGTCAAGTTTAGTTAAGTTTGGTCAGTTTTCAGCATATGTAAGATATATATAAAAAATTAGCATTGCGTGGCCATTTAATTATATCCTAACTTACATCTCCACAATACTTTGAGTCAAATTAAGTTGAAAAGTTTTTAAGCTTTTGTCATGAGTGTCTAGGGATGTTGTGTGATAAGTTTGTTTTGTAGCACTGCTAATACGTTAAGCTCTTGTATGCTGTGTTTTTATTTTGCAAGTAACTTTGGGTAAAACAGTTAGTCAAATGAACAAATGAAAATCTGTGTAAATGTGTTTACCACAGGGGTGTCCAATCCTAGTCCTGGAGGGCCACTGTCCTGCAGAGTGTAGCTCCAACCCCAATTAAACTTCCAGGCAGGTGTTGAGGCAGATTGGAGCTAAACTGCAAGACAGTGGCCCTTCAGAACCAATTTTGGACACCCCAGGTTTACCAAGTGCTTCACACACAAAAAACGAATTGGTCTATATCATCATGGTGTTTCCTAAACTTTGTTGATGCAAAAAACCGATACAAGACATTGAAGGATATTGTTATATCTCCAGGTATGAAGGGCAGAGAGATCAGTTGATGCAGCAGTCATTTAACATGGAGCAAGCAAACTACACCATCCAGACACTAAAAGACACCAAGACCACTGTAAGAACGCAGTCATAAGAAAAAAAGAAATGTCATGTGTTTTTTCAACATTAGTGATATGTAGCAAGCATACTTGTTTTCTGTGTGTGCATGTTAATGTTTTTAACATAGGTGGATAGCATGATTGTGCATGAATATGGCATGTTACTAGCATGTTTAGCACTTTCTGGCATATTTAGGGCCCAAGCACTGAAAGGGCCCTGTTGTTCTCTTAAGGATTATTTTCTTGATTTCCTGAAAATTATTAAAGGGTCCAAAGACTTAAAGTTCTGAAACCCTATTGTGTTTGCACCAACTTTTTGTCCTAAAAGTGTATGGGCAACAGAGTAAATCATAGAGACCCCAAACTTGGCACACAGAGTAAAATTGTAAAATTTGTTTGTACTTCTGAATCCTTGAGTTAGGCCCTTCAAATGATAAAATTCTTCTGCCATTTAAAATTTTCTTGATCTACCTTTACTAACTCCTCCTAGGTTAGTTCAATCTTCATAAAATTTTGCAAACAAAAGCTAGGGACTGAATTTATTCACGCTTGTGCTCCTGATGATACATACTAGTTTTTAACTTGATGAAGCATATGGTTGTGAAGTTATAGTGGGTTTTCAATTAGCACCTCTTATTGTTAGAATTTGACAAAACTTTGTGTGCGTTGTCAGAATGTCCTGTTGTCCAATCTGTCAAGTTTAGTTAAGTTTGGTCAGTTTTCAGCATATGTAAGATATATATATATAAAAAATTAGCATTGCGTGGCCATTTAATTATATCCTAACTTACATCTCCACAATACTTTGAGTCAAATTAAGTTTAAAAGTTTTTAAGCTTTTGTCATGAGTGTCTAGGGATGTTGTGTGATAAGTTTGTTTTGTAGCACTGCTAATACGTTAAGCTCTTGTATGCTGTTTTTATTTTGCAAGTAACTTTGGGTAAAACAGTTAGTCAAATGAACAAATGAAAATCTGTGTAAATGTGTTTACCACAGGGGTGTCCAATCCTAGTCCTGGAGGGCCACTGTCCTGCAGAGTGTAGCTCCAACCCCAATTAAACTTCCAGGCAGGTGTTGAGGCAGATTGGAGCTAAACTGCAGGACAGTGGCCCTTCAGAACCAATTTTGGACACCCCAGGTTTACTAAGTGCTTCACACACAAAAAACGAATTGGTCTATATCATAATGGTGTTTCCTAAACTTTGTTGATGCAAAAAACCGATACAAGACATTGAAGGATATTGTTATATCTCCAGGTATGAAGGGCAGAGAGATCAGTTGATGCAGCAGTCATTTAACATGGAGCAAGCAAACTACACCATCCAGACACTAAAAGACACCAAGACCACTGTAAGAACGCAGTCATAAGAAAAAAAGAAATGTCATGTGTTTTTTCAACATTAGTGATATGTAGCAAGCATACTTGTTTTCTGTGTGTGCATGTTAATGTTTTTAACATAGGTGGATGCGATGAAAATTGGTGCCAAAGAAATGAAAAAAGCGTACAAGAATGTTAAAATTGATCAGATTGAGGTAAGATTCCTTTCATTTCTTTACTTAGTGTAAAATACAAAATTGTCTGAACTGATTTTAAAAAATGATGCGTGTATTAGAAAAAGTTTTGCTGTTCATGCTGCAGGATCTACAAGACCAGTTGGAGGACATGATGGAAGATGCTAATGAAGTGCAAGAAGCTCTTAGCCGCAGCTATGGGACACCAGACATCGATGAAGATGATCTGGAGGCAGGTTAGTTAGAACAGGTGTTAAGGTAGTTTGTTTTATTTTGTGCATTTAGTATTTTTATTTTGATTAGTAATTAGTTGTGATCTATTACTAATAAATGTGTGTATTTACTTTGTTCACTATAAAAAAAAAGAATGTTGGTTTTTGCATGATCATTTGTTTGTACCATAAGAACTGGATGCACTTGGTGATGAACTCCTTTTGGACGATGACAATTCCTATCTGGATGAGGCTTCTTCTGCTCCAGCTATACCCGAAGGAGTACCAGGAGACAGAACCACGAATCGGGTAAACACACCCATTAATTAAAAAAACAACATAAAACACATTTTTATTTATCGAGTGTTTTCTAGAAAATGTCACGTTTCTAATCTAAAATGTACTGTGACTTTTATATTCCAAAGCAACTTGTATTATGCAGTTAACGGCAAGCACGGAAAGCAAAAAAATATGCATTCACATAATATCAGTTCTAGTAGTGTTTCAGTATCAAGTCAATACTTAAATTTTAAAAATCTTAAAAATGCTTTCAAACACTCCCATTTGTATTTGCGTGAGCACTCTGTAAATAGCTATGGATGGGACAAAGAAATTATATGTGATATTTTCACATTGATATGTGAAAATAAGTCTGAGCATTAAGTCTAGCAGTGTAAGTGCAGTAGACTTGCACTTGTTGTCACCTGTAAAGGGTTTTTTTTCCTCCATTTGATTATTTACATTATTTCATTTTGTAACTTTTTATTTGATCTTTTTAATGCAATGGTAACTTAACTGAATAATATCTGAAGGCTACATGCTAATGTTTTAAAGTATTATTTTTAACTACTAATACAAATAATAATAAACTAATTTCACTTATTTTTTTAAATAGTTAAAAAATAATAAAATACTTCTTGGTATTACTGTGAAACGAAAAATTAGCATTAAGCCATATGTTGACTTTGTATTCTCTTTTGTGAGCTGCTCACAAATTGCTGGTCTATGCGTTCATAGAAGAACATTTAATCTTGTGGTTTTTACCTTTCCTCGCATTGAACTTTGCCACAGTTTGTGCTTGTTAGGCAAGGTAAGACTTGTCAAGTTTTACATGGCGCATTTCCTACACACCGAAAATTCTATTTTTCTTTAAATTTGTTTAGGCTATTTAGAATTTATGATGTTATAATAAATGCTGCTATAATTTATTTTATTATACAATGCGGCTCCATTTAGGATTGCTTAACCTGCTAATATACATGTGAAAAATGAAAATATAAAAAATTTATCAAAGTGCTCTGAAGGCAATTTCAATTGTTATGGGCCCCCAATAGCTGTGGTTCCCCTATAGTCAGTCCCACTTTCCCCCCACTAGTGATGCCCGTTTTTTCGGGGTAATACAGAACATGTGTTCTAATTAACATACAATAAGACCTCCTCATGTTCTGCCCTCCCACCTTTCTATAACATTACATGCAAATTTTTTCTGCCAGTTTCAAATCTGAGGTTCAGATTTGGGGGTTTCATGATCCTTTAATAGAATGCTTAGTAAATTTAAAGTAAACAAGCCACAGAGTGTAAGAAGCTGCATCCATCAACACTATGTGCTGGACTTTTCATTTCAGTAATAAATTGTATACAGTTGACAAATGCACTCAAGAGATCATTTGTCAATTTCATGAATCAAAATTTAATTAGAATGCCAAAAAAGTGTCACTATTGCATAAAAAGAGACTGCATACTCTATACTGATTAAGTTTAGAGCAGATTATTGAAAAATGTCTGTATCATGTTAGATACAGTCTTTATAAAATCGCATGTAAATATTTCATACTGAGCACTGCATTTTTAGTTACATGCTCTTTGCTTTGTGGAGACATGTGAATAACATCCACTGTTACAGAAAATGATTTTTGCAAACTGATGTAAAAATTCTGCTTTTTGCAAACAGGATGGAGTACTGGTGGATGAGTTTGGCCTTCCTCAGATTCCAGCTACATAATGGAACAAAATGACAATACATCCTAAACCCTCAAAAGATTTGGACAAATATCTACAAACATAAACACTGGGACAGACCTTCAATGTCAAGATTTCATCTTTTTTTTTAAATTAGTCTTGATCTACTTCAGATTATAATCTTTTGCTTCATAAGAAATCTATCCATGATATCTTTTCACATTAATCATTGGGTTCAGAGTTTTTCTTGGTTGGCTTGTTTTTGACTGTGTATATATATGATTTATTTTCTGAAGGATATACAGCAGTAGGTGGTTTACTTTGTACTGCAATACACTTTATTGAAAGCATAAATAAATATAATTTACATACAATATCACATTTCTGTACACAAGCAAAAGACAAACTTCTGTATACATAATAAAGCTAATGAATTGTAGTTCAATATCCATTTGGTAATCCAGATATCACCAGCCGAGTCTGTAGCTGTGAGGAAAGATCTTCTTGTGCAGATATTCCACAACCTCTTTTTTATCCTTGAGTTTCTCAAATTCATAGTATGAAATCTAGAGACCGAGTAAAACTAAGGCCATTATGGAGCATACACTAGTTTGAATTGTAAGTTTTAAACATTGGCATGCATACAAGACTGGTGTTTAAAGGAATAGTTAACCAAAAAACAAAAATTAATTTTACTTATTTGCTCACCCTCATGTTGATAAAAATTCAGAAGACTTAAATTGAATCTGAATCTGGAGTTGCATGGATAACTTTACACAACAGCGGTGTCCTTTTCAGAGCTTGAAATGTTTTGTAACTTGTAGATTAAATGGATTGAAATAATACTTTAAATACAGTTGTCATCTTGTGTTACACCTTGAAAAATCTGCAGAATGTTAATAAAAAAAAAAAAAACAAAATAAATTTTACTTATTTGCTCACCCTCATGTTGATAAAAATTCAGAAGACTTAAATTGAAACCACTGGAGTTGCATGGATAACTTTACACAACAGCGGTGTCCTTTTCAGAGCTTGAAATGTTTTGTAACTTGTAGATTAAATGGATTGAAATAATACTTTAAATACAGTTGTCATCTTGCGTTACACCTTGAAAAATCTGCAGAATGTTAATAAAAAAAAAAAAAAGATAGGGATCCTAAAAAGATTTTGCTCCAGGTCTTTCTTCTGCATATTTGAACCCTATTAAACAGTAGGCGCATTTCCATTACAGATTTGCGCAAAAATTTGGCGATTTTTTATAAATGTCGATAAAGTATTGCGAAATTATGACGTTTCCATTAACCAATGTTATGAGACTTAAACGTAACCTTTTGCCTCTCGCGATAAGTCATGGCAATGGATTTTGGCTATATTTATTCAAAGGAGGCTTATGCGTGTATCTTCACAGAAGCAGCAAAGAGAGCCGCTTCAGAAACATGCGTGGCGCTGCTGGAATAAACCATAGACTGTATAAAAACAAACAAGGTGGCCGTAATCGGCTTCAGTGATCGTATCAGAGCCACACTGCACCACAGACGTGTGCAGTGTAAATTGTCTAAGCATTAATAGTAGGGAAAGCCCCTTATACTGGAGCGCGGCCACTTATGAAGTGTTTCTTGGAGGTTATAGTACATTGAAGAATGATCATATGACTTTTTACATACGCCATGTGACCTGTAAATGCGAAAAAGCCGTTTCCATTGCTGTTTTGCGAATGATTCGTTTTTCGCATTGCCTGAAAAACCACCTCATGCGAGTGTAAAAACTTTGTTGCCATATATGGCAGTTTTTGCGAAATTGACGCGTTTCCATTATTTATGCGTATTTTCAATTCGCAATTTCAATTTGCACAATTTGAAGGGTAATGGAAACGCGCCTAGTGACTATTTTTACACAGAGGACAACTGATGTTCAAGGAGGGTGATGATTGGGGTAAATTGTCCTCATTTTGTCTTCTGGGAACCGTAAACAACATACGTAGTTTCTGAAGAAAAAATTTACACTCCCCAGCTCTTGATGCATTTTTATGAACCCTCTCCTATTTTACTAGTTATTATAGTTTCACTGATTCTGCAAGGTGCATGTAAAATTATGACCACAACTCTAATTTTCATTCCACCCTGGAACACAAAAAAGAATAAAGTTTTTGAACGACTTTAGGGTAAGTTACACATTTTATTTTGGGGAACTATTCCTTTAAATGAACATTTCGGCTTGATCTATGAAACATGCACATACACTTAGAAAGGCATAGAAGAAAAAACATTTTAGTAAAGCAGTCGGTAAATAAAAGGCAAGAGAAATTAAGTTTGTTTTACCTGAACAACTTCATATCCCAGAATCCTCAGGTGACGCTGCTTGATGGCTTCCTGGCCTAGTAGTTTCTCTGCATTTGCTGCAAAGCGCTTTGACCCGTCAATACAGAGAGCAATTCTGATAATAATAAAAATGAATATCAATATCACAATATGCATTCATTCTCAGACAACTAACCATCAGTTCCTGCTTTATTTGCAAACAGCATGAAATGCCTTACCTTTTATGGACTTCATTTGTATGCGAAGCAGGCAAGACGTACCCTTCTTCATCTAGTTTTATCTCAATGTCTGCATATATATATAAACGAGAAAATAGTGGCATATACAGCCACAGAGATATACCAATCAGAAGGTTTACATGTGTTGGTGTAAACAATTGACAGCTATACAATTTTAGGACCAAAGTGGATGCATATGTACCTAGCGTATAACAACATGGTGTAAGTACTCTGGAAGCAAAGTAAGATTTAGCTCCCAGCAGATCCACTAGGGCAGACTTCACAGCATTATAGAAATGAGGTTCCACCGGAGTCTCCAAAGACTGTCCAGAAGCCAAAAATGACTTTACTTGAAACTTCGGCGAAAGTCGTGGTCCCTTCATTTAAGTGCAAGAAATATGTAAATGAGCATTGTTATGAATAAGCAAGCAACATTAGTATAGAATACATATATAACACTCCTTTTAAATTGTATCCTTTTTTGGGAGCCTAAAAAGCTGGGTATACTTCATTTTATGCATTTCGCTCTGTCTCAGCTGTATTCATGCAGCTTGTCGACCACAAAATGAGTTTGACACATGCCGAGTACCACCTTGTTACTACTACCTCTTCTGTATCAACATTCACCTTGCATGTGTGCTCAATGCAGGGTAGTACCTGATGACATGTAATCTGTATTATGTAATCAGATTCCAAAAAAACAAGTATGTGTAATTAAAGTATATTACATTTTAAAGTGCTCAATCAGATTACAGTTACTTTTTGTGGATTACATTACATATATTTACACAATGGCACAATGTGAATTATTCACAATTTATTAATTCTCCCTAATTTTTTTTTCTCTTTTACATTTTCCTTCTAAAAATCCTACTGTGTCATAGCATGTAGCTTTGACTATATTCACAATATACAATGGCCATGTAAATAAATGTGTGAACTATGCTTCTAAATATTGGGGGGGCGGGGGGATTCTGTGGTTAATTACTCATCCTCTTGTCGTTCCAAACCCAAAAGACCTATGTTCATATTAATCTCTGTGCCTAGACCATGGTAGTTCCCTTGCTCAGATTTAATAAAAAATATCTTAATTACGTTCCTAAATTGAACAAAGGTCTTACGGGTTTGGAACGACATGAGGGTGAGTGATTACTGACAGAATTTTCATTTTTGAGTGAACTATCCCTTTAATGGTGATGTCACCATAATGTCCAGTAATATTCAGTAGCTGTTGATTCTGGAAGTCTGAACAAAAATATTTCAAACCTGGAAGACTTTGGGTGTGTAATGTCATGTTTTCTTAATGTTTGTTCATGTAATCAAGGGATTCCCAAACATTTTTTTATCAGCTAAACCTAAAATAATTTAGTTGAAATATCTCTGAGGAACACATTTGCATGTTTACAGTTCTCTGTTAATTAATGGTCACACTGACTTGGAGGTAAACAAATAATATATACATTTTTTTAGTGTTAAAATATTTATTTTTACATTTTCATGATTTAATTAGTTTTGACAACTCACAAACTATTACAGTTCTTACATCAAGACCAGTATGGGAAACCCTGGTGTTATGCAGTTTTTAATTTTGATGTTGATATACAAAAAATGTAATGTGTTGTACAGTATGCTTATTTTGTAAATTTAAAACAAGTTAGATTAAAAAAGTAATCTAAAAATGTACCTAAAATGAGGTACCTAGATTACATTACTAACTACCATTTTCATCATCCAAACAGTCACACAGACAGCATGCAGACCTTTGCAGAACATGAGCTGGACACCTGACAGATGCTGATTTCTGCAACGGATGCTCTTTACTTGCCTCATCAGGACTTCCCAAATGGGGGTTTATGTCTTGAAACAAATCATTACATTTAAAAAAATTAATTTTAATTTTTTAATTATTAGAGAAATAACTCCCGAAGTGGTTATGTGGCCACGTCGCCGCACCTATTAATGGAATGGTCTTTCTCAGTTCTCAAACAAATTAAGAACTACATTCGATTTTTATTGACTGAACGCAAGCGCTTATTGCGATAGAAAACACTATAAAGTTTCCACTGATTAAGAAATATTATTGTTTGCTTGGGTGGTAATATTAGGCCTATTATATTAATAGGGAAGGGGGGCCCAAAAATTAGTTTTGCCTATGTCACGAAAAGAGGTAAATCTGGCCCTGGGGTTTACCCCCCAAAAAAAACTATTATTTCAAATAGTAATATATGACTGAACAATCACAATATAATTGACAAAATCAAACAGCCCTGCACTGTAAATAAAACATTTACTAAAAAACATATTTAAATTGTTTACGTGCAAGTTATTTGACCATTAACCAACATAAGACAAAACCATGAATGTGAATGTGTTCACTGCCCCCCACCCCTAGCTGAAAGGTGATGTATGTTGTGCCCTCTATTGTACTGATATGAATGTTACATTTCTTTCAGCCTGACAGCGATTCCATTTGCTCGGTGTGAAAGAAACATTTGTTTGGAATTTGTTTCATTTCTCACATCACATTTGGTATAAAACAGCATCAAGTCTTAAGCATAGTAAAAAAAAAATAATAATAATAATAATGCAGTTTCACTCACATCATAAAATGGACACTCGAGCTTTACAGTCATGTAAAGTTGGGTCAGCTGTGCAAGCACTCTGTGATCTATCCCACTGCCCTCCTCCCCTTCAAAAGAGAGATGGAAAATATATTTTAAAAGTTCAGTATATTGCATAGAGATGTTAATGATTAAGTGCTAAATAATTTTTAAAGAATTAAGCTTCTATTGTCTATTAACCAATTTCAGCATAAATATGTTGAAATCACTGTTTCACAACAACCATTCTGTATTTTCTATACCATACACTAATTATAGTAATAAATTAAAGAATTACATTTAAATTATTAGCTAAATACCAATACTCATGTTTGAGCATATTTAAACAATTTATAAGTAAGCCACGTGTATATGAACATGGAGAACTCCAAATATCATTATTCCGTATTAATCGTAATGATTCATTAATCAATTAACATTAAAATAAGTGATCAATTCATCTTGAATGTTCTTGAAAATTGAACCCAGGTACTGTATAGAAAATGTTTCATTGTTTCTCACCCTGTAGCTGTTGCATGAAGTAAGGGCTGAAGACTTTTGAGACAAAGTTAAGTGGGTATCTCTGTAGAAGGGTACAGGCATACAGTAGGTCTAGCAGGGCTCTGGGCTGAAATTGGGAAAACCGGGCATGCAAAACAGACTCCACCTTTTGGAACAATCTCCCAGCATCAGGTGGCAGGTATCCCAAAACTCCCAGTGCAGCTATCTGTTGTGACACCTGCCATGTTGAGTACTCCTCTGCACGATACACAAAACTCTCAGCCACCGTGTTAAAAACAGGTGGAGAAAGAATGCGCCATCGCCGGAAAAACTGCATCACCTTGGTTACGGTTTCTGCATGAGCAGTAAAGGCAACCTTGGGCACATGGCGCTCAAGAGCTTCCACAAGAAAGTGGTCACTGTGTCCATAGTGCATAAGTGCTGACAACACCACAATCAGTTCTGGATCTGCAAAATTTTGCACATGATGGACAGCTTGCTTGCAAAGTGCAATTACAAGTGGTAATGCTTCCTTATGTCTCAATTTGAATAAAGCACCTAGAATTTCGCTAATCGCCCCTGGGCCCATTTGTTGCACTAATTGAAGTGCTTGAGCATTAATTTCATTTAGAAGCTCCAGATAGCATCCATCTTCACCCAAACCAGTTGCTAGCATAGAGTAAACAGCAACTAGCTCTGCCGTATTCCATTGAGCTGTATCTTTATTTTGGAGCTGACTCATAGCCTGTTTTATCATGCCACTGTTAGGGCCTTCCAATGCAAATAAAGCCCTTGATAACCCACATAGCGCTTCAACACTGAGCCGTTCCAAATTCAGTCTCTTTTGACTTTCGAACACCAGCCTTAGCACTAGGCGGCTCTGAGGGTCAAGGTAGAGACGTGTACAGCCCAGGAGAGCTCTAACCAATACCTCATCCTGTAATCTGGCTGAATCATGCTCCAGTGTTTGGCAAAGTTTATTAAGGCCCACATCTGATAGCAGTGTCTCTGGTTTCCAAAGACCACATGCGGAATCATGCTCCAAGTCTGCCAGTCGGTGAAGTATAGATGCTGCTGCTGCACCTGAGAGGAGAGGGTAAGATCGCAAGAGACGAAGAACTTGCTGAGATGAAGTACAGGAGGTGAGTCGTTTCATAAATGTGTGGTCCTCATCAGAAGTCAGGTGGTGCAACAAAGACAGACCACTTCCACTGGGGAGGAGCTCCTGGTAAGGGCGAACAGATCCAGCAACAAGGAACATTGGGTCTCGTTTTGTGGTGCATACGCCCCTTGGACTGAGGCTGGAACATGTGGGAACGCAGACAGTAGAGGTTCGGAGACCGGGAGAAGACAGACGCTTAACAACACATGCTTTCAGTGATGGAAGGATCTGGTCATCCAAATGGCTCAGGAAATGCAGCCTCAGTGCCAGTGGTCTGGCCATCATAAAAAGTGCCATCATATCCTTAATCTACAGTAACAACAAAAGAAAGAACATGTAAGTTAAAGTTAAACATCATGATCTACTGAAATTGTAATCAGAAATGTTTCTGTTTTAAGGTCAAGTAAGGTTTCTATTGATGAGTCTCAAAACTTAAATTGAGTCCTTCAAGCCTTCAGCATATGTCAAACAAAAGGGTTAAATTAATTGCCGACCACAGAATTTGCAGTTTATGGACAAAAATGTTCTGCTGAATCACAAACTGCAATGCTACCTTGTCTGTCTATGCTTGCCCTTTATAGGCAGCTGGCTGTACTGCATGGTTTGTTCCATTATGTGGTTGAATAATTCTTTGAGGACCATTATTAAACAAGTTTGTTGTTTTTTAAATTAATTCATTAGAAATATAAAATAAATATTTTGTAAATTTTTCCTGAAATATATAGCATACATAATTGTTTTATTTATTTAGAATTTTTTGGTGGCGGGGGGACTCTTTCCCAAGTTGCACAATGATAAACTGTAACCATTACCTAGGTAATAACACAAGGAACATTTGTCCTAAGAACTATCCTAACTGGATTAATTGTACTACATGAAGCAGGATGCAACTAAAGTGTGACATTTTTCTGACATCCCCTTTACTACAAAGAGAACAGCTCTGTGAATCTCACAAAAACATACATTCATTTTAGGGATAGGCGATATCGTTTGTGATATGTGACCAAGTCTGTAGAAAACTATCTAATGTAAAAAAAAAAAAAATGTTTTCTAAATAAAATCATCCTAAAGGACATTATGTGAAAATATAACCTCGATATCTTTAATATTGACTGAACAAGACCATTTCAAAGACAATTTCGGGCTCAGAAAACCATGTTTTTGAGAAGTTCCAATATAAAGACAAGCTAATATTTAAATCTGCAACACATTTGAACCATAATCATCCTAACTATGTGCCAAATACCACATTAAAGCTGTAATTCTCCCATTTTCGGTGACACATTTATGAAAACATTTTGTAAAACAGGTTTATTATGATGCGTCTAAAAAGCACAAAAACATTGAAATTAATGGGTGTACCACAAGAGCTTAATTGTAACAACAATTAACAATTTATCTTGGCAGAATGTTGAGTTACAAAACAATTAAAGTGTTTTTGACATTTCAGTGATGCCACAAATTTTTTTTATTTTATTTTTTTATTTTTTAATAATCGGACACCGGCTGAAGTCACAATTTTCTTGACTTTCCCAGCACTAACCTGATTTGCGCTTGTGTGAATTGATTTTAAGGTCTGTTTGCACTTTCTAATGGTAGAAAAGAAGGTTCTGAACGGAATGATGAGAATCAGCAGGTGTTCCTGCACCGAAAGTAAACCCAGAGACGATTGAAATCAATGTTTATGAAGCCAACCTTCAGTATTTTTTGCACAAAGTAATTAAAACAAATTGTCAATAAAATAGTTCAGTAAATTTTAGTATTTATGAAGTTATAAATGAAATACTGAGGACTTTATCTCAAATCCCATGATATAATCATTTACAGCGATAAACACGCATAACCTATTTTCATCATATTTATGGCTATGACTACTTTGATATACTTTATCTCGTAATTAAATTATGCCACTTTAGCTAAGATTTTACCGACAGGGCCACATATATGGGTAGAAATTCTCCCCACAATAAAAATAACAACAAAGTCTAGTTGATGAAGTATTTCTGTGTGAGAACCATTTGCAGCTCATGTGCAACGCGAAAACGTTACAGAAGGCAGATGTGAAGCTGAGGAGGAGCTACCTCTACAATCTGGAACTAGTTTGGTAACTGAAAATCAGATGTGAAGCAAACGACCAAAATATGCAAAGTTTGACAAAAAAAAACTATGGTTATAAAAGGGTGGAAACACAGTGTTACACCGTCTCAAACGCAAAGTATACTACATTATCTTTACTGTAAACTTAAACTTTTATAACTTTTTTCTACTTTCTTTTTTTGAAATGCTTTCACATTCAGGAATTACAACCATGCTGTAACAAGCATTGATAAACAAGTGTTGTTTCCAGTGAATTTATACCCCCAAAGGAGCAACGTATCCTGGGGGATACAACATTAAAATCAAATATAAGAGTCAAGTTTCGAAAAAATCATGAAATTGTACTGAGTCCCAATAAGATGGAAAATAGCATTAAATTAATTTTCTGATGTCTCTTTATGGGTTTACCCTTTTTAGGGTTAAGATAAGCTAAGTAAACTATGGACAGAATTGCCAGAGACAAAGGCGTTTTATTTGGAAAAAGACATGCTGCTATTCCAAACTGTCGAGAAGGAAGGATTCAAGCAAATTATCCATCAACTGGAAACTATTTCTCCGATACAGCTCAGTCAGCGATGCATGAAGAGTCCCAGGTGAAAAACAAGTGCACTACCATAATGTAATTAAAGTGGTCTATTTTCACACACTAATTTTGTACTTAATATACTAAAAATTATTCTTTAGTACTTCTTAAGATAAACTTAAGATCATCTATGTGTACTCAACTGTGCTAGTTTGGGACACCATGAATATGAACTAAAATGTGCTTTTAACATTATCTCTGTATTTAGTTACCACTTGTAGTACACTTGAACCATCTTCCACACACTTCCATACATGTGCTGTGGTAGGTTACAAACAATGCTGTCCACACGGATGAAAACATTTCAAGTGGCCTGAAGCAGTTTCTTCAAGAATGGGATTTAGACTAGATTTAGATTTTAGACAAGGAGAAACAGTTGTGCCTGACAACAGACAATGGAGCTAATATACTAAAAGCAGTCACTCTGAACATGTGGACAAGACTTGCTATTGGCCATAGCTGCACAGCTGAAAAAAGCAGTGAGCACTCAAAGATGCTCAAACAGAACTTGGCCTTTCTCTGCACAAACTTGTGACTGAATCATCATGCCTTGGAAGCTTTTTCAAGAAACCAGCTGCTGAGCTGATCAGTCTTTCTGACACACAGAAAAATGAGACAAACTACTTCTGTAGTCTACTGGTGAGAGCAAGGTGAATTTCCCTAATATTAGTTGTTTTGCAAAAACGTACTTGTGTATCCCTGCCATAAGTACACCCTCAGAGAAGTGTATTCTACTGGTGGAAATGTAGTAACTAGGGATGCACCGAATCTTCGGCAACCTAAATTATTCGGCTGAAAACAGCAAAAAAAAAAATCTTTCGGATATTTACTAATATCTTTCAAACGATTAGTAAATAAACTGCAGAATGTTATATTTTCTAATGCACGCACGAATTGCATGTATTCTGACAGCGCTGCACAAGCTCGCGGCGCCAGGGTTCAAAGTCCAAAGCGTGAGGAAAAAAGTTATGTGACAATGTGATACATGCGACAAACATCTTCCCAAATTCGTAATGAGAATCATTTATAAATCTGCATTCTGTTGTCAACAAAAAGAAGCACTGAGATCTTCCTGCCTAACTAAAAGCCGAGCAAAAGCAACAACTCCATCAACATTCATAAATTATAGTATTGTAATTTTACTGTTGTTCTGTAAAATAAAATTAAAAAGACAATAATAATGATAATAATAATTTGTCCTACAACAGCTCTAATAATACATTTATTATTTATTTAAAAATACATGCCTGATTCAAGTCTCAAAAATGGCCAAAAATATTATTTTACTAACTTACTAATTTTAAGTTTAATTGTGCTTTGTTGGTATAATGTCTGCTAGAATGTTAAAAAATGTTCAGTGTTAAGTAAATATTTTTTAATTGTTGTTTTGTAATTGATTTTTTATTTGAAAAGCAGGACAGTAAAAAGCACCTTTTGGCTATTGCATTTATGCAATGGTGAAAAAAAAAGAGGCATAATAGGCCTACATGGGGGAAAAATGTGAAAAACCATGTTCGGTATTCGGCCCAGTGTTTCATTTTGTTCGGCTTCGGCCAAGAATTTTCATTTCGGTGCATCCCTAGTAGTAACATATCAAAAGATTCTGAAACAAACTACAGTGAATATGTTAGTATTCTTGACCAAAAATCTTAAGATGTGAGCCCGGTTCTCTTTTTGAAAGCCACTTTTTCCTGAATCACATTTTTACTAGTATGTGTATTATACCTTGCACTGAACATTTTCATGTCAGCCTCATCTCCACATTTAGTTTACAATAAGAGTATATCAGCATTTATATTTTAACTTTTATTGAAATTTCATTTGTTAATTTATCATGTTGTGATTTGCACTATTTTGTAACCTAACTAGAGACAGAGCTGGGACTGTTACCTTTTGATTCTTTTTTTTTTTACAAATTTATAATGTATCATTGACTGTTTCACAATGAATTTGGTTCCTTTATCAGGTTACATTAACATGTTTATTACTTAGTTTTTATTTGCACTATTTTATAATTTTGTAACCTAACTGAAGACATGCTTGGAATTGTTACTTTTGCTGTTTGCACCATGAGAGTATGAAAAAATACAGAATTGTTTGGGTTGATGATGGGTAGGTTATACTTTTAGATCAATGTTTGTGTTTCTGAGGCTCACTTGTTGCCAAAAACAATGGTGATAGTTTTAAGTCCATATCGGCCATCCCCAATTAATATACGCATATGCACAAACACTTACATGAGACAGAAGCAGCAGCAGCAGCTCAGTCTCTAGACTGGTCTAATTTGAATCAGAAAAGTATGACTGATTATTCCATGGCTAACTGCTATTTGGACAAACTAGTCCTTTAACATGTCACTAGCCATTATGTTTCTTATGCGACTGGGCCCAGGTTAGTTAGTTATAAATAAATAAAAAATTAAGAAAGAGAGAGAGAGAGAGAGAGAGAGAGAGAGAGAGAGAGAGAGAGAGAGAGAGAGAGAGAGAGAGCAGTGAAGTGTGGGGTCCTCTCCTAAATCATGAATTTGAAAGATGGGACAAAAATCCGATTGAAGCCCTGCATGCTGAGTTCTGTAAGAGTATCCTCAGAGTACAGAACACACCGAACAACACATGCAGGGAAAAATTAGGCCAATACCCTCTACTAATATTCATTGAGAAATGAGCCATCAAATTTTGGAAACACCTAAAAATAAGTGACCCCAACTCTTACCATTTTAAAGCCCTTAAAAACCATGAAGTGAACACTGAAAAAAGTCCCCTGATTCAGATGGTCCTGAAGCTGCAAAAACAAACTAACATGACTAACAACAGCCAGCATCAGGACACTGAAATATTCATCCACAAAATTCAGCCGAACCAAATTATAAAAGCACAAAAAGAAAATTATCTAACTTATTGGACTGAAACAACAGAAAAACAAAGTAAATTTGAATGTTATTTGGCCCTAAATAGAGATTACACAACTGTAGAATATCTGAGTACAGTGAAAGATTGTAAATTAAGACAAATGACAAGGTACAGACTGAGCAATCATATTCTGACTATAGAGACGGGCAGATATCAACAGCACTGGCTGACCAAAGAGAGCCGCATCTGCCCATACTGTAATCATGGGGAAGTGGAGACTGTATCTTACTAGCAGCAAGATACATTGATGCCTGTCACAAAAAGAGGGAGGAGTCAACAAATCGGTGATGCCCCCCCCCCCCACACAACTGAATTTTAAATTGTTCATAGAATTCTAGAATTTATAGAATTGATTTGTTCTATTTTATTTAATTATATACACATGCATGTATTTATTTATTATTATTATTTAAATACATATCTGTTCTAAATTCATTTGGCAATACATTGTAACAACTGCCATGCCAATAAAGCACATATTGAATGAATATTGAATTGAGAGAGAGCGAGAAAGAGAGCGCGCGCAGTACCAGTCTTTCACGTGGAAGCCAAATTAGCAGTCTGAAACGGAGAGTTCAACTACTCTGTAATGCTAGAAACTATGATTAATAGTATGAATGAATAGCGGTTACCTCTGAAGCATGGGTCCACTGAAGATTACACACAAAGAAACAGTTTTTAACTACTCATTATAATGACACAGTAAAGACGGGCTCCCTCAGAATAATGTATAAAGTAGCTGACAGAAACTCGTTAAGTTTCGCATTCTCTTAATTAAGTTACAGACATACGCTGAAAAAGGCAAAACATTTAAACGGACAGCAGTGAGTTTTTACGAGGCACAAATGATACTAACAACTTGCGGTGAGGTCCATTCGACTGTAAGCTCCCATGCAAAGGGGACTTCACTTTTCCGCCATGCTATGTTCTTCTTCGTCTTCTATAGAGATTTGTGGTTAGATGCATCAGGGGCGTATTGCTGCCCTCCTTAGTTCATCTGATGAACTCCGCGGAACCCTTTAAGCCCTGAAGGAAGGTGATGTTTTTCCGAGCGACATACACAAAAATAATGACTCATAACTCCCAAACCGTAGCAAGGAGAGTCAAAGGGTAGTTATCATTTGATAGAAATCTTTCTATATTTTTAGGGAAGAAATTATTTACATTTGAACATTCTCATGCTGAGAAATGTGATAAAATGTAGGAAAAATGTGTGTGCTCATGGGAAATTTTCATTCTTATTTGACATTCAATATTTCAGGAAAGATATAAGGTAGGAAAGTTTTTTTTTGGCGATGTTCCTCAGCATGTGATGTTAAAGTTTGTGGTGATATCATGGAAGTAATCAAAAGTTACAGCATTTGGAAGCAATGTAGCCTTTTTCTTAGCTCTTGAGAGTTTTGAAATTGTGTCATACACAATTTTGAGTAACATGCACAGAAGCATGCCTCATTCAAGTTTAGTTAAAGCCCCAAACAATAGCTTGTTTAATTCTACTCTGTTTTATTCTACTTCTTCAAATGATATTACATATGACTATCTGCAGCTGAATGATTTTGACATATTAGAGTACATGGCACAAAAACATTTCATGAATTATGAATTTTTTTATTTATTTATCAGCAAATAACTCACTACTACTAGGAGTTAATCGAAGAGCCACATGCATTGTAAAGTTCAGACACTACGCTTTTAAATGACACCTGTTTTGTATTGATCAAGGCAGTGGTTTTGAAAAATATAATAATATTTTTCTTCGCTAGGTGGGGCCCGTCGGTGGTAGTACACTCCGGTTTAGAGGGACTACCCAAAGTGCTTTTCCATTCCGAAATTTTTGGAATCGATTCCGATTCCTGGAATCGATGGAATTCGATTGCAAGAAGATTCCACATGTTTCCAAATCTTTTTCGATTCTTGTTTTTAAGATTGAAGCAACCTAATCTCAACATGAATATAGGATATATAGGTCTTGGAAAGTAGCCTTCTTATAATATGAAGCTTTATAAAAATGACAATACATTTCTATAGCTCTGATTAATTTTTAAATTGTAATTTTGTCTACATTGACCTTGAAATTAGTCATAGCCCACAGCTCAGCAGTGGACATGTGTTTATTGCATGAATGGGACAAGACATGAAGTGTCTAAAATACATGTGCACCACATTTCAGCTGAATGGTTAATTAATGACTTCCAAACAGTGTTAAGTCGTACATGTGCTATCTGGGGTAATACATCATTTGAAACTGTAAAAGGTATTTTATTTGTATACACTCACAATATCAACAAAACACATTTATTTAGTAAAATAAAGAAAACAAATAGGGTGCGCTTTCTGCATGCTCAGTCTCCGTGAATATCTTCCTGAAACCCGTCACTAAAATGAACGAAAACTCAGCGAATACTTACATTTACATTTAGTCATTTAGCAGACGTTTTATCCAAAGTGACTTACAAATGAGGACAATGGAAGCAATCAAAATCAACAAAAGAGCAATGATATGCAATTGCTATGAATATATGAATGCATTATTTATAAACTGACTGTTTGCTAAGAAATTGTCATCACACATAAATTAATTTTATTTCATTTGGATTTGGATACATTTTTAGATATTATCAATGGCTACTTTTAGTTTTTTTGTTCAATTGTTTTGTCATTGTTGTGTCAGTTATTGCATTATATTTCAGTCAAACCTATAAAAGCCTTTGTTACCCCAAACTACATATAAAAGCCTGATAAGTGGCATAAAAGTAATCAGAATGCAGCTACTAGTTCCTTTGTTACTCATTGACGCTTGAACTTCCCCTTTAAATAACGCGACTCTCTGCCCTCTATGTGTATGACGCTACTCCCATTAAGCACTGTTGGAAGCGAATTCATTGATTCAGCATTTCAACACTTCCATAAGGATGCATTAAACTCGACAAAGTGGTTTAATAAAGGATGTATTGATCTTGTGAATTAGTGAATTTTACTACACCAATATTTTTTTAATTGGCTGTTAAAGTTTAATATGGGAATATTACACGACACACTGATCCTTTAACAATGCATTGGCCTTTTGGACCAATTTCACAACATGATTTCTGGACTGCCACAAATACCTGCTTAAACAAAATACTGATTTTGTGCACTTTTTACTGTACCAATATTTTAAATGCATCTTTGAACTTAGCTTTATTGCATGGCAAAAAAAAAAAAAAAAAAACCTTACTTTGCCAAAGCACTGACAGAACCCATTGATCTAATGGCATTGTTGAGCGCTCCAAATGCAAACTTTCCATGCAACAATCAGAAGCAGCAATTAACAGCACTCTGATCCAATAGCCTACAGGCATTGTCAGATTGACAGTACTCTAGCCCAGTGATGGTGGGGGATCCGGTGGGGGTGGCAATTATATTTCAGGTCGGCGTGCCACTCTTTATCACAACCCTGCTAAAATCTAGTGCCAGTGTGTGCACTCATTGGCGCCCCCTCCTGCTGGTGGCACCCTAGGTGACCGCCTAGCTTGCCTATGCCTAGAAACGGTACTGTATGAAAATATGAAAACATTTTGAAATATGACCTTTCATTGCATCTAAATGTTGTAGGACTCATTTGCATTTTAGCTCGCACTCTGGTAATTTATTAAAGGGCATACTGACATGCAAAACATGATTTTTACTTCATATTTTTTAACACTGCATTTGTAACTTCAAGGGGTCATATGATGCGATTTCAAGTTGTCCTTTCTCTTTGGAGTGTTACAAGCTGTTTGTGAATAGATAAGATCCCTAAAGTTGCAAAGACTAAAGTCTCAAACCCAAAGAGATATTCTATTTAAAAGTTAAGACTCGTCCACGCCCTCCTAAAACGCCTCGTTTAAACATGCCCCCACATGTCTACGTCACTGTGTGGGAAGATTTGCATAACACCGCCCAAATGTTTACGCTAAGAAAGAAGGCATAACTTTTATATTCTATCTAATCTAAATTCTGAAAAAACAGAGATGTTAATTATAGGACCTAAAAACTCTGCATATAATAACCAAGAACACTCTCTAAGACTTGATGGCTGTTCTGTCAATTCTTCGTCATCAGTTAGGAACCTAGGTGTGCTATTTGATAGCAATCTTTCCTTAGAAAGCCACGTTTCTAGCATTTGTAAAACTGCATTTTTCCATCTCAAAAATATATCTAAATTATGACCTATTCTCTCAATGTCAAATGCAGAAATGTTAATCCATGCGTTTATGACCTCAAGGTTAGATTATTGTAATGCTTTATTGGGTGGTTGTTCTGCACGCTTAATAAACAAACTCCAGCTGGTCCAAAATGCAGCAGCTAGAGTTCTTACTAGAACCAGGAAGTATGACCATATTAGCCCGGTTCTGTCAACACTGCACTGGCTATCTATTAAACATCGTATAGATTTTGAAATCTTGCTTATATTACTTATAGAGCCCTGAATGGTTTAGCACCTCAGTATTTGAACGAGCTCTTGTTACATTATAGTCGTCCATGTCCGCTGCGTTCTCAAAACTCTGGCCATTTGATAATACCTAGAATATCAAAATCAACTGCGGGCGGGTTAAAAGCGCTATATAGATAAAGGTGACTTGACTTGACTTGACTTTTATTATTGCTGTAGTATTGTTCTCGCCGCCATGTCCTGGAGACGCTGTGTGTTTCGTTGTGAAAGCGAAAATACTTTCTTTGGCCCTCCAAAAGAGGACACAACTAGAAATCAGTGGTTAAGTTATATTTACAACACTGTTCCAGAACAGTTCAAACCAAATATTCAGATGAGTGCAGCGCATTTTACGGAGGACTGTTTCCTGAACCTGGGAGAGTAGCCTGGCTACAATGCCGGCTGTTCTTAATCACAACCTGTAAGAATCAGAATCAGAATGAGCTTTATTGCCAGGTATGTTTACACATACGAGGAATTTGTTTTAGTTACAGAAGCTGTATGTTTTCATATTTAAATAAGTAGCCACTGATGATTCAAACGCGAGTTTTGAGCAGTGTAGAGTAACGCTTATTGTTTGTCGTTTCTCCGATCACAAATGCAGACATGGTTTTATGTTTACGCGGCGCGATGCGATGCAACGCGTAAAATGACAGTATAAGTCATTATAATCAGTAATTATGTCCCCACTGGATGCCACAAATGCCTTGTTTGTAATGGGTTTTATTGGTTTTGTCTTGTTGTGCCGGGACACGCCATCACAGCATGGTAAGGGGCGTAACATTTCCGTCACACGCTTGAGGTATTCGGCCAATCACAACGCACTGGATAGCTGGCCAATCAGAGCACACCTCGCTTTTCAGAACGATGAGCTTTGTAAAAACCGATGCGTTTCAGAAAGGCGGGCAGAGAGGAGAAACAATAATTTACAGTATGTGGAAAATAATGTGTTTTTTAAACCTTAAACCGCATAAATACATTTCATTACACCAAATACACAAAATAATGTTCTTTTTAGCAACGTCATATGACCCCTTTAAGTAACATAATTTTATTGACATTAGTAACTGTAATTGTAAAGAATTGTTCAGCTCTTAGGTGCTAATTAATACCAGGTGGCAACCACCAAAAATTGTCCGTTCAGAACAATTAACTTAAGTGATGTCCATTTAGGAGGAGCTAGATGCACACACCACTCATAGACCACTCATTGCAAACTTGAACAGCTTTAATTAAGTGTGGTTTCTTTGATGCACATGCGATTACTCAATATTGCGGGAGAACTGGCATTATCATCACTGTTAGGATCGTCTCGCGCTAGTAAAAATAATGGCGATCATAACTGTACTAAACTGCGTCAGCATCCGGGTCCTTTGCACCTTCTGGGGCCTAACAATAGGCGTGTGACTGACGCCTGACTAAATTCCCAAGATGCAAATCTGCAAGCACATTTGGGGGCGGCTGTACTAAACTGA